TGATGACTGGTAGTATTAGTGAAGCCTTTCTTCCTATGAAATATATTGTTGTATGTGTTGTGCGCATCATAGGAGTTTAGGAGCGCTATTATAAACGCAAACAGTAAATTTCAGCTGTAAAGCGGAACGAAGTTGACTCGCCAATATTTGCCATAGGAAGAATTCTGATCACCGGCTCCTGTGCGCATTCCTTCCATCCTCCGCACCCCGTGTCTCAGCAGCCGAAGGAAATTACGCTTTGTAGGTTAAGGTGCACGCACAGGCACGTATACACGCGCACACACACGCACGCGCACGCTGACACACACTTATGCACAGACAAACGCACACGCATGTATGCACACACACACGCACACGCGCGCGCGCGCACACACACACACATACATACACACACACAACACACACATGCACGAACACCCACGCACACACGCGCGCGCGCACACATACACATACACACACACACTCACACTTTATCTCTCTCACTCACACACTCACACGCACGCACGCACGCACGCACGCACGCACGCACGCACGCACGCACACGTACAAACACACACACAACACATACGCGCGCGCGCGTGTGCGTGTGCGTGCGTGCGTATATAGGTCTTTAGCCTTATAGTCACGCGTAAGAGAAAACAATATGCCTATCTGAGGTACAGCTAGGTTTCTATGACGTATACCTGACACGATCGTTGTCGCTGTTGTAGCAAACGACGCCTGAAAGAAGAACTTTGAGTACACCCAGCCGATGCTCTTGTCGTCGGCGTTCACGAAGAAGTGACCTATTCCGCAGAACGGATTCGTTCCGGGATCCGTGCCAAAGCTAAACGCATAGCCTAGCATCCAATAGGTGAAGCCTCCGCAGATGACGTCAGCAGCATTCTTCACCATGATGTTCACTTCGTTGCGCGTGGAAACACTGCCGCTTTCCAGCAGTCCGAAGCCTGCGGGTAAGCAGCCAAGCAGCTCGCTGTAATTCTCTCGTGAGGTGAGATGCGTGTGGGGCGTATATATGCGCCGATGGGTATAAGCAGCTAGTATTGTTTATATAGTCTCCCCGTGTAATACGGTAAAAAAAACGCGTATAAGAACCCTTAAGTTAGCCTAAAAAGCTTCTTATATAATTGGTGTTTACTGAGAAATTAGGCAATTTAGGTTCTTAAATATGTTCTTATTTTCTAAAGAAAAAAAGGTGCTTGTTGCTGGTAGAATATTAGTGCGGTCCATTGTTTATATAAAGTATGCATATAATTATGTCTAAATGACTGCAATCTAGACAAATACAACCCCTATTCTAAGCTTTATATGCCAATCTTATATCTTTTTATGCCCTTTATACCTCATAAACATCAACAAAACAAAACTAGATTGTTTTAAATCACCACAAACATAATGTCTTGCCAGGTTCCTCAGTCATAAGGTATGGTACCAGGCTCAATTGCATAATGTATGCAGTGAAACTGCACTGTACTATATTTTTGTACATTACTCCACCACAGAAGTACTGATCTACTAGAGACTTAGTTGATATTGTTATACAGTATTGTCATTGACAGCTTACCCACTAGCTCTTAACTCACTAGCTCTTAACTTACTAGGTTCTTATACGCGGGTTTTTACTGTATCTTGCATGTGAATGCGCACGCGCACACGTACGCAGCCATACCTACGCACATAAGCGCAAAACGCACACACGCACGCTCGCGCTCACAGGCACAAACACGCGCGCACACATGTGCGTAAATACACACGTTCACACACTTATACGCACGCACATATAAATGCACGCACGCACGTATGAATGCACACGCGCACGTACACGCCTCCACGCACGCACTATGCACACACGCATGCTCATATACTAGATAATTAATATATGTAACATATTAATATTGACACACATCCAATGGGTCTGACCTAATGGGCTCATGACCTAAATAGGGCAAATTTTAAGGCCGTAACTAAATCATAATAATTTAATAGAAATACGATGAAATGCCAACGCAGGTAAACTTTGTTCTATATATAAAGGCTTTTAAATGTGTAATGTCTTCAATTACCCGCCATTACGGGACGAAGTGCCTATAATATCACGACCTGTATAAGTTTCACGTATGTATAATGCATGGAACTTTAAATGTCGTGGGCTTATAGGACTTATAGTTCTGAGATCGTGGTAAGAACATGTGCGTGGTGCCATCATCGGTTTGCCCTACAGACCTGCAAATTATATGAGGCCAATATGGCGGGTGGCCGAGAATAACTTCATGTGGATCACTCATGGGGTTACACCACACTACGCGAGCTACCAGAATCGGTGGCCAGCCCATACTGTTATACACAGTTACGTAATCTGAATGGATTTATGATATGCTTTAGAAAATGTTGGGCCGAATAGTTGGCACATTCACGAGCATAGTGAGGTTTTCTTAGTGTGGTCAGAAAACTACGGAAGCCCGTTGGTGCCATGCCGGTGGATATATTTTTTGTAAGCGCTATCTTTTTTGTAATTAAGTGGCGGCCGCCAGATGGCGATTACAAAAAAATATATCCACCATGGCAGCAACGGGCTTCCGTAGAAAACCACAGGTACTTTAAACGTCTTAATAAAAAAAAATGTAAACACGAAATGTATTTACTACCAAAGTCTTAATGTTTCTCTACTCTATTTCGCCTATTATTGCCGATAACTTGCTGTAAATGCCGTTCAAATGCTTATCTGCAACACACAAGTACACCGCACGCACGCCCTGTGCACAAACAACATGAATGAGAGATGTTATGTTGTCATTTAATATCATGTGATGTTATGCTATTATGTCTCTCTTATTCATGTTGTTTGTGCACAGGGCGGGCGTGCGGTGTACTTGTGTGTTGCAGATAAGCATTTGATCAGCATTTACAGCAAGTTATCGGCAATAATAGGCGAAATATAGTAGATAAACAAATTAAGACTTTGGTAGTAAATACAATTCGTGTTTAAATTTTTTCATTTTATTGAGACGTTTCAAGTGCCTGTGTAGAAAACAGCGACGCAGTTACGCATTACGAAATTGCTTGCTTTCAAGATACGAGTAATTTTAACCAGATGAACGAGAAGCCTTTTTGGAAAGGAAGAAAAGCAGAAAACACGCGCTTGCACAACGCTTCTATAATTATTTCTGAACGTTTATAATGTTTAAAGCTGATGTTTTACACCCCCATACAGTACAACTAGGAAAAATTGGTAAATGAGATTGGTGGGTGGGTGGTTGTGTGTGTGTGTGTGTGTGTGTGTGTGTGTGTGTGTGTGTGTGTGTGTGTGTGTGTGTGTGTGTGTGTGTGTGTGTGTAGTGTGTGTTGTGTGTGTGAGAAAGAACGAGAGTGTGTGTACGCGTTGCGTACGTGCACAACGCGTGGGTTGGCTGCATCACTTTCAGGTATTCAGCCGCTTCCTAAAACAGAATGAAATAATCCACATTTCACGACGGCCCGCTGCGTTAAAAATGTCAAATGCTAACGGGTGGTGACTATGTGCATGCACGAGGTATGAGCAGTAATCCTTTAGGCAAAAGTGCACAGTTCAAAAAAAAAAAAAAAAAAAAAAAAAAAAAAAAAAAAAACATAAGATATTTGAATAGTAGAAGCATCGCGTGAAAATACAAAATGTTTTATAGCTAATGTTTTTAAAGTGACATATAATTGTTTCAAATGCTGTGTTATTGGTTCTACATACGTTGTGCTGGTTATGAGCATGTATAAAATGCATTTCTAAATCAGCGTTTAGCTATTTAAATTATGGCTCATATAATAATATATATATATATAATATATATATATATATATATATATATATAGACAGGTCGCCGACGTGTCCGCGCCTTACCCCTGTACATTTGTATAGCAAGGGACCTTCGGCAGAGCAGTGCCACAATATTGAAGTAGCGAGGGTGCATTTTTCGATGCGCACTTTATCTTGGCATGCCCCACTCTAGATTAAACGCTTTACGTTGGCCCTACGCCATTTCCTTTGGGCGACAGGTTGCCGACGTGTCCGCGCTTTACCCCTGTACATTGGTAGAGCAAGGGACCTTCGGTAGCGCAGTGCCACAATATTGAAGTAGCAAGGGTGTATTTTTCGATGCGCACTTTCTCTAGGCATGTCATACGGGCAAGTTAGTAAATGGGGCGCGATCTCGAGATCTAGCAGAATACTAACACATCGCAGTTTGCTAAGTATAATATGCGCATTTAAGGATACTGTTAGGGTTGGGAGGTGATTTTTGGTCGAAATTTTAATACCCTCTTTGTTTGATAGATCGCACCCATGGGCAGCTATGTATACGTAGAAATTATGTATGTAACCTAACCTCCCAACCATGCAGTTCCAAATCCCTGCAACACAGGCGTTCAATCATCGGAAATTTAGAAAAGTGCTAATATCTCCATTGTTAGAAATGCTGAAGTTGCTGATTTTTCAAACGCTATTTCTTGAAACTCACAACTCCGATTCCAACATTTTTTGTTACGTTTCAATGCTAATATATCAAAGAAAAAAGTGTCCCTGGAATTTTTTTTAAATACTGTAGTATAATTTATAAGTTATGGCTCTTTGTTTACGAAATTGTTGTAATACGTCTTTGTTTTGAAAATCACTACAAATTTTCGTACATCTTTTCAACTTATTTCCTAAGCATTAAAAAAAATTCCAGGGACCTTTTATTAGTTCATATTATAAACAACTTATGGTCAAAAGTTTAGGTCCCAACTCTTTGCTGTTTCTGAGAAATAACAAAAAACAACATTTTTTTGGTATAAATTCAAAATATTTGCCGTCACTTCCGCTCAAGCGCGGGCGAATTTCGCTGCGAATTTCATCCGCACCGAAATTCGCAGCGATCAAACATGTTTGATATTTTCGCTGCGAATTTTTACCGCTGCGTACAAATTCGCATCGTGTGTCCGTGGAAGCGAAAATCAAGCCGGTCGATGTTATAATGCAGCGAATCATTGATCTGTATGCTAATCATGTGACCACATGACTGTTGGAGCCATGGTTGGAGCCATGTGGCAACAGTAGATCGCGTGTAGTGTGTCCGCTGTGGTCGTGCGAATAAATTCGCATGGTGTGTCGGCTCAATTATTGCATGCGAGTGCGAATATTTTCGCCGCAATGGTGTGTCCCCCGCTTTAATTAGCGATGAATTAAAAAAGAAAGAAAAAATGAAGGATTGAATTTAATGAGCAGGTATGTTGCAATGCCCTTTACAGTGTTACCCGTCCGTAACCCTAACAGTATCCCGCACATCTAACGCACATTATCTATGAGCGTCGTTTATGTTAGATACAATAAGCCTTGTGCTCTACGCCGAACACATGTTTGATGACAGGATACTTGCATACATATCAACAGGAGTCTATAGATTCCTGATATCAATATATACCACTATGTTTAGTATTGTTTACAGATATAGAGACCGAGACTGAAAGAGAGAAAGCTAGAGAAAGCGAGAATGAATGCGCGCGCGCGCGCGTGTGTGTGTGTGTGTCTCTCTCTCTCTCTCTCTCTCTCTCTCTCTCTCTCTGTGTGTGTGTGTGTGTGTGTGTGTGTGTGTGTG